TCCTTTGGAAAACTTCTGTATGGTGCCTGCCCGTCTCACTGCCACATGCTCATTCTGGGGTTCTCTGAAGGCCTCTCTCCTTTACTCCACGCACGGAGACTCTGTCTTCTAACGAAGCTCCTCTCCAGCCCTGGGAAGGGCCCCCATACTGCCTCGGGGACGATGCTCCACCCTCCCCAATCAATCTCGACTTCAAGGCCTGACTGTACCTCCCCACCATGGCACAAGTCTCTCTTCTAAGATCGCTCACGTCTACAAGACAAAAACAAATCAAGGAAACACATTTACCCTTCCTGAGTTCCTCTTAAGGACTCTAAGGAATGAAAATGGGACCAAATGAAAATGAGTAAAATGCTGGGAAAACTAGTTCACATCTAACTCTAGTCTCAGTGAGGCAGGGGCAACTGAAACTGTATTTTAGAGGAAACTATTAAAAATTAATACATCCAGCTTAATGCTGCCAGTCTCCCTAGTTTAAGCTTTCTCAAAATAAATTAATCTTTCTTAGACTTGGCATACATTTTCCATATTTTTTGTGTTTTTGTTTCTGAGAGTCACATGCTGTTGCCTGGAATGGCCTGGAACCATTATGTAGCTCAGAATGGCCTTAAACATATGGCAATCCTTCTGCCTCAGCCCCCACTCCCAAATGCTAGGGTCACACACGAGTTCCCACCTCAGGATTAATTAACTTTCCCCCTCCAGTTCTAAGGACTGACCCCAGGGCCTCCCTCGTACATGCTAGGCAGGCAGCCCACCATCAAGCTACATCTCCAACCCTATTTCTGAGACTTGGTCTCAGTAAGTTGCCAAGGCAGGCCTTGGACTTGCCATCCTCCTGCCTTAGTCTCTTGAATAGCTGAGATTACAGGCCTGCGTCACTGAAGCCGATAGGGAAATGGTAGCACCTCCAGCCTGGGACCTGCAGGGCTTCCCATGTCTGCCTTCACCACCGAGAGCTTCTTCCTCAGTCTGTAGTCTGCACACACTGTGAGCAGTCAGTCTTTGAGAGGAGGGTCTTAGAGACCGAGTCTATTGTTTCAGGATCCTTCCCAAGTCCCCCAGCAGAAGGCCATTTGCCTCCCTGTCAGGGGCTGGCAGCTGATGAGCAATCACTTCCCGATGGTGAGGGGGCAGCTTCTTCCCTTAGCTCCTGCTCTGACTTCAGGTCAGCCTTGTTTCTCCGGTTACATGGTGCTCACAGCCAATGGTCACACAAACAGCATCCTTCCTGCCACCTCTTAGAAGTGGATCTCAGGGAGCATCGGCCTCCTAATTTGGCCTGGGCCCTCTTCACTAATGCATCTGCTTTTGCAGCTGTGAGCCTGCCATAAAAACACCATCATCGACTGTGTTTGCTCCTTTTCTGCTTTGAATAACGCAGCAGAAGAATCCTTTGTCAATTCCTCCTTCCAAGTCTTTCTTAGGGAAAGCTTATTTTAACCAGGAATAACCAGACACTAGTCTGTCACCGCTGCTTTGAGTCTCACACAGCTGTACAAAAGAAAAAAGTGCCTTCCCCCTCCAAAAGCCACTGGAGACTTTCTTCTTATTAATAAGGCACCCAGAACACACGCTGTTCCACGGAACCAGAAGGACCCATTTCCCTCCTGGAGCAGAGCGGCAGTCGCCGGGCACTCATTAAGTTACAGCAATGGGCACTGGTTTCTCGGTGCGTAGCTGAGGAGCGTGGCTTTCTCCAAGGCTGCCTCCCGCAGACACTCTGGACCCCTGGCCTGTGTAGCTCTTAGTATGCTGCACAGGTAACCTGGGCTCCTCAGTACCCAACATGGCTAACCTGTGTACTTCCGTCAGCTCCCATCCTGTTAATACATTTTTTTCCCTAAAATAATAATCCTAAGGTCCGTGAGATAGCTCATTCCACCAAAGCATCTGCCACCATGTCTGACTACCGGAGTTTGCTCCCTGGGTCCTACATGGTAGAAGGAAGGAGCCGACTCACACAGGATGTCCTCTGGCCTCCACATGCTTGTATACATGTCATCTAGAATCCACAACAAGCCCGTGCCTTTAATCCAGTACTTGGGAGGCAGAGGCAGCCTGATTTCCCTGAGTTCAAGCCCAGCCTGGACTACATATTGAGTTCCAGGCCAGCCAAGGCTGCATAATGAGACCCCGTCTCAAAAAACAAAAATTAAAATAAGAATAATTTCATCCTTAAAATTTAAAAATAATCGACTGGTTTTCTAAATATTTTCTTTCATTTCAAGGGTTTCTGGGGACATTGGTTCTCATACTCTAGTTGGCACAGCAACTCCAAAAGGTGGCCTACCACAGTTACGTAGGGTGTATTTATGCTGGGGTTGTGACAATTACACCCACAGTTGCCTTGGTTTTTAAAGAGATTAATTCCCTTGGTTGAAACACAGGTGAAAGAAAGATTCCATTTTCTGGAACTAATGATTAAGAAATAAAATAGAGGAACGACAGATATCAGTTTACTCTGTCCTCTGTTCAAAGGCACTTACTTTTCTTCTGCACAACTGCCCACAGTTTTATGCTGGAACTGTCCACTGTGCCCCTCAGAGGCAGGAGCTCCTGAAAAGCAGGGACTGTCTCCCCTTCCCAATCAAGAAGTGCTTCTTTTAATGCTGGTACACTCAGCATGGAAGTCTGATCATCATTACTCTGATGCTGGCGCTTGAACCCAGCATCTGGCTTACTAAGCATGTATTCCACCACTGAGCTACACCCTCAGCCCCGAAAGTCTGGTTTTTCATTAGTTACCGTTTTAGATCAGCTGGCGGACCTGCTGTCCTGCCGTTTTGAGTTTAATCAGGCATTACTCTGGTTCTGACAGACATGACCTCAATCATCCCATGAACCCCACCTAAATACAGATTACCCTTGCACAAAAGAGCAGGAAAATGGATTCCAGTCTATGCCACTAACTAAAATTCCTCTTGGCCAGTCTAACCACACTGGATCCTTCGTTAGAGATTCAAATGAGGAATGACACTAAATAATCTCCAAGCGCTCTCTGGGCCCGGCTCTGAAACGGATGAGGCATGAGTGGGGAGTGTCAACACTAGAGGGCGCTACACACGTGTCATCACAGGGGGTCCAGGTCAGGAAATTTCAAGAAAAAGATCTTTCTCTCTCCCCAGATTTACAGTCCTGGAGACGAAACTCTGGCCATGAATGTGCTAGGCAAGTGCTCCACCACAGGTGTGCACCACCACCCTCTCCTTCATGACACAGCTTTGCAGGCCAGTGGCAGGTTGATGGATTCGGCTATAATTAGCGTCACCGGTCTTCTACAGGACTCAAATGTTCCTCCATCTCCTTGGTTTGGGAATTTTCCATTCCTTGCTCTTATTTGCTTCTTTGGTTTTTGAGACAGGGTCTTATGTAGCTCAGGCAGAACTCTGAGACTCACTATATGCATGTGAACATCTCTGAGGTCCTGATGCCTCCCCCTCCATCTCCTAAATGGGGGGATTACAGGCTTAACCCACGTCGTGGGACTTACTTTGCTTTTTGTTGTTGTTAGCTTGATTTTTTTTTTATTGTTGTTGTTTTTGTTTCTCAAGACAGGTAGCCTTGGCTGTCCTGGATCTCACTTTGTGACCAGGCTGGCCTTGCACTCATAGAGATCCACCTGCCTCTGCCTCCTAAGTGCAGGGATCAAAGGCACATGCCGCCACCACTCACTGAAGCCCAAACAGCCTGTGATGCAAGCCAGTGAGAGAAGCTTTTTGGGAAGAACCTTTGGGCTACTCAGTCTGTCAAAGGATGAGGTAAAGGAATCAGGGAAGGGAGGGGAAGAAGAGGCCCACTGAAGATGAACTGGCTCGGACCACTGTTACACACTGTGATGGCTAATCTTGACTACATCTGCAATCAACGAAAACCAAAGCAACTGAGCACACCGGTGAGGGATTTTTCTTGACTGGCTCGTCTGAAGTGGGAAGACCATTTAATGTGATAAGACCCACCCTAAATGTGGGCCACGCCCTCCTGAGTCGGGCTATACAAAGGAATGGAGAAGGAAGTGTTTGCTCTGTCTGCTTATCCTCTCTCTTGCTGCCAGTTCATTCCTTCGCTAGTATCAGAACCTACTTGACGGGGATTCCAGCCTATACTGAAGACCAGCTGAGACATCCAGCTTTAGAGACCGAATGGCTATCTCGGACTTTGCATCAAAAGTCAGCCAGTTGCACTAGCTGGTCCACAGCCTGTAAGCAATTCTAATAAATACCCTTTTAATACGTATACATTCATTCTGTCGACTCTTTTCCTCTAGAGAACCCTGACTAATACGAATGCACACTCTCTTTACCTCTGGGAAACACTGTTGGCCTTGAAATTGTGGGACCTGACCCATCCACAAACAAGCCTGGCCTCTTTGCCCAGAGGAACAATGGCATGCCAGCCTGACAGAGCAGCTGGAGCAGAGTTGGTGCGGGAGACAGAGACGCAAGACAGAACTCCTGCATTTCTATTGCCTAGATTCATGGGATTCAGAACGGCAAGGTCTTAGCAGGCAGACACCGACTACCTACTTTTAGGACACAGACTGCTCCTGAGTAAAAATAGACAGAAAGTAACCTTGGAGGGCAACTCTGTGGATGAAGAGAAAACGTACTAGATCAAAACAAATTTTTTCTCTTAAAAATGGAAACTCAACCTCTAGAGTATAAAGTAAAACTCACTAGGTTCAAATCCAATATCAAAGTAGCTAGGAAATGTAACTCTTTCTTAAATCAAGAATTTCAAGTACTCTAGAGGTGACAAGAGGGAGGGTGGATGGATGGATGGATGGATGGATGGACGGATGGACAGACAGACAGATGGATGATCTATGGATCTTCCCCTCTACCCCCGCCCCCACACACACATTAAAACATTTAGCCATCCTTTCATAAAAAGCAGGAGAAAACACAGTCCAGTGGGAAGGTGACAACTTGCTTCCTCCCTCCCTTCCTCCCTCAGGGCATGCACCAAAAGACTTCCATGTCACTCTGCATCGTACTGACCTTTAAAATGTTTCGGCCATCAAACGATTCTCTTTCCTTGAAGATGTACTTGCCATCTGCTGTGTAGAGATTGTACCTGCCTTCAGCTGTAAATAATCCAAAGACGACGTGAGAGGAGCATGAGAAGTGTGTGTGTGTGTGTGTGTCCCGACCTCTTGAGTAGCTAGAAAGCAGTGCATGGTGGGAGGAGAAACAGCTAACAGCCAAGAGTTGAGGCTTCACCTGCCGCTGTCACTGCCGCTTCCATGTAGTCCATTCATTCAGCATTCGCCCAGCCCTGTCTGCACAGGTAACTAAGGAGCTCCTCCACGGATCTCAGCTCCCCACTGACTAAGTCACCTCCAGGCTTCTACAAGCCCATATAAAGGGCATGTGATTTTTATTATGTTAAAATACACCAAAGCTCGCACATAAACTGTTCAAAATTGCTGGTGTCCAGGATTTGGGTGGACTTAAGGACTACCTCTAATATGTGGGGGCCTTACTACCATTAAAGACATCCTTACATTCTACACGGGAAGGCAGCAAGTCCATGACCTTGGCCTAAACAAAACTGTACTCTAGCTGACTAAGTTAATTTAGGTTGCATGTCCCAAAAGATGTCCTTAAAGGACAGTCAGAAGAGTATCAAAGGGAACGGAGACAGGAAAAGAAAAAGTAACATATCTTTTCATGTCCTTTTCAAGTAAAAAATTCAATACAGAGACGAGCACAGGAAAGAGAAAATTCAAAGGACCCTTAAGAATTATTTAACTTTCACGATGTTTTTTGACTGGTAACTCTTTCCTGCCTACTGACAGACCTTTCACAAGCTCTCATATTTCTACTTTGCAGTGTGCTCTTTCACTGTCCAAGTCTGCAGAGCCCCAGGTCAGAGTTCTAACAACTCCATGAACATAACACATTTTAGCTCTGTGTGTGGGGACTCTGGACTTGGGTCGAATGAAAAGTGTTCTAAACAAGACCCCAGCCTCAGGCATACTCCACAGTTAAAAAACGAGTTCTGAAAGCCAGACATGGTGGCTCACACTTATAAAGCCAGCACTTGGGATGTGGAAGCAGGAGATGAAGAGTTCAAGGCCACCCCCTCTGAATAGCAAATTTAAGGCCAGCTTGGGTTACATGACATCCTATCTCAAAAACACAAGCAAAGCAAACATAAACAGCTTTCCTGCTAAGAAAAAAAAAAATGAGCAGTTTGGAAAGAAGTAAATCAATACCAGAAAAAAAAAAAAAAACTATTAAAAAGGAGAGACTGTGGGTAGGAGACAGCTCAATCAGTATAGTGCTTGCCTTGCACCTGAGCCCAATCCCCAGCACCCATGTCAAAAAACAAAACACCCAAAACAAAGACACCTGGCACAGTGGCACACTTAACTATAATCTCAGCCAGAGAGAGGCAGAGACAGGAACATCTCAGGCTCTTTGGACATCCAGACCACTCTACTTAGTGAATTTCAGGCAAGTGGGAGACTCTGTCTCAAAAAACAAGGTGAATGGTGCCGGGGGAGACTGAGATTTTTCACTGTTTAGGTTATTTACCTGGGCATCTTAAATTCTTCTTGAGGGAGGCATGCTAAGGATTGGAAGAAGGACCTCATGCATATAAGGCAAGCTCTTTACCCTAAGCTGCACCCCAACCCTCATCTCCAGGCAAGCACCCCTAAACTGCACCCCCAACCTTCATCTCATATTTTTGTTTGCAAAATCTGACAACCCCATGTGTGCCAAAGCTAAGTGTCACACTAGGTATGCCCCTGCCACTTCCACTGGGTTCATCACAGCCAAGGAGTATAGAGATTCACGACGGCCACTCATTTAAAGCTCAGCTAAGGCCGGAGGCCCTGTGGATCACAGCCCGCTGCAGCTCTGGGAGGACTCACCATTGGGGTCTTTCCTGAAGAGTGTGTTCATGACTGTGGCGTGTAGTTTCACACTGTTCCACTCTTTCACTGTTAGTCCCAGCTCCTGGAAGCGCTCCAGCACTCGGTCAGCTAGTTCTTGCAGCCTGGACAGGGGGGAGCGCCACAAACCTTCGTGAACTCAACCGGACCAATTGAACATGCATGCGTGTGTGCTCTGTGCCAGTCATGGGAAGAGACTGCAGTCCCCACCGAGCTTACTGTCTGGTCAAGAAGGCAGCCTTGGGAACAAGTCACTGCAGTCACGGTGGCACGAGCCTGTGATCCCGGCACCCAGGAGGCTGAGGTAGAGGAGTTATAACTTTGTTTGTTGTTGTTTTCTGTTTGTTTGTGAGTCAGGCCTCAACTATGCAGCACTGGCTAGCCTAGAACTCAGGATGTGGAACAGACTGGCCTCAGACTCACAGCCATGAGGCCGCCTTTGCTGGGATTTAAGTATGCGCACCAGCACAGCGGGCGGGATTCTGAGTTTGAGGCAAACATGAGATACACGCGAATTCCTGCAGCCCAGGTCACAAAACAAGACCCTGAGGAGAGGGAAAGGGAGATCGCGGCAGCGCAATATGGTTTCACGAGAGTGACTGACGCTGCATGGAGACAGATTTCAGCGTGTTCTTGAAGGATTAATAAAGAGCCACAGACAGAACCAGAAAAAGACGGGCACTCCAAGCAAAGAAAAAGCAGAACATGAGAGACCCCAACGATGCGTGGTCATCACAGACGGCAGCCTGCTGGTTCCCGGAGATGCCTGGGACAGAGTAAGGAGGGCTGGGTATGAAGTAGGGAGATGGGCAGTGGCCCAGGACAGCTAGGTGGCTTCTTCACTGAGAAAGAGTAACTGACAATGCACTGGCCGCCACACTGACCACTCGGTATCCGCTCACAACACATCAGTACCCCTAACATACCCCTGGGGAAGTTAAGAGAAGGGAAGTTATGGAACCTGGGCAAGGTCATGGAACTACTAAGTAGCTAAGTGGCAAATCTAAATTCTCTCTCCCCCACACACTTTAGAGGCTGGGATGTTGCTCAGTGGTAGAATGGTCTGCTTAGTATACTAGGCCCCAGACTTTGTAACCATTTTTCTATTAATTTTAAAATGTCTTTCTTTTTCTTATCTTCGTGGGGGGGCACCTGAGCAAACAAGCCAAGTGCACCCACATGTGTGACAACTTGCGGAGTCGGGTCTCTCCTTCCACCATGCTGGTTCTGGGGGTCGAACTCAGGTCGTCAGGCTTGGCTGCAAGCACCTTTACCCACTGAGCCATCTCACAAGCCCCTTTTACATAATGTTTCAGTCAGTTTACAGAATAATGGGTTTATGACATTTCCATATATCCATATCCTTATCTTTATTATAGTCAACCTCCTGCTACCTTCCCTTATCCCTCTCCCCCCAAATCCATTTTAATTAATTAAAATTTTAAATTTTTAAATGCGTTTTTAAAAATCAGAGCAGGTCAGTGTGCCTTCCGAGTCCACAATCCTCAGGAGCCCACTATGAATGAGGAAGTGCTGAAGGCCTACACTCTGGGGCAACGAGCAGGAACTCTGGAGAGCTCAGTGAGAGACGGGACGCCCATCCCGACACACACGGCAGAGGAAAGGAGAAAAGGACAGTGAACATGGCTCCCCCACCCTGGAGACGGCGGCCAGCCAGGTCACTAACCCAACAGGCGGCTAGGAGGACTCATCTGCTCACTGTCATCACGGGACAGGGCTGACGCTGGGCCCGTCTACTTGTGTGGCACAGGGTATCAGGTCTGAAGGACAGTCCAGGCACATGTGTCCAAAACAGACAGAAATACAAGTCTGAAGTTCAACCTAGGAGTGTGGGGACTGTCAGTTCAGCATCCTTTAGCCAGATGTGGTGACACATGCACTTGGAAGGTAAAGGCAGGAGGTCAAGGTCATACAGGGTTACTCTCCGGTAGGCAGCCAGTATACTAGCCATCCAGTATACTAGCCAGTATCCGAGACGCCATCTCAATAAACCAGGAAGAGCAGTGAAAGCCCAGTGCAGGTGCAGCATGGAGGGAGGATTAAGGGCAAGCCACGTGAAAGCTAGGGACAGCCTTCTGGGATGCTCACCTATGGAAGGGCAGAGAAGGAACCAGAAGACAGCTGGTAAGGGTGAGAAAACAGGAGGAGGACCTTAGAGAGGCTGGAAGGAGCGCCAAGGAGCAGAGCCAGTTCAGGCAGCCGCTGGGGGGGGGGGGCCTGTAGCACAGCAGTTTCATTGGCACACAGGGAGGGACAGAAGTCTCACAACAAAGTGCAGAGGAGGAATCAGACAGGGAGACAGCGAGGGCACACTAGGCTCTCAAGACACTGGAAAGGAGGGAGAAATAGAAATGTCAGTTTTCAGCAGGCCACAAGAAGCAGTGTAGGCTTCTAAGAAGCCAGGGACTGAGAACTAAAAGCATATCGCTCAAAACAGATAAATGTGCAGTATCGGGGTTCATTTACTGCTACAGAGGTGGGGTGGGGGAAGATGTACCTCCACAATTGTTCTCTTAAACTGTTTCCTGTTTACAGAAATAGCATGCTCATCAAGAAACTAGGAAAGGGCAGAAAAGCATCAGAAGGAAAACAACCCACAGACACTTGGGTGCTTATCTGTGGATGGCGAGGTGACGTCATCAGACAAAGAAGCAGACACCCTGCTGTAGAGTAGACCTGGTGATAACATCAGCAGCCCCGAGTGCCTTGGGTGACTTAAGGGGAGAAGAGGTTAGAGTTGAGCTGGACTGAAGGAGGAGATGAGGACAAAAGCTGAGAGTACTCAATGCATCTGGATTTCAGTTGAATGAATAAATGACCTACATAAGTATCAAGTGTTCAAGGAACATCTACTGTAAGCCATGCATTATCCAAAAAATGCTAGTTCTAGAAAACCGAGTGGCACGTGTTCTCCAGCATCGAGAATCTGACCACCTCCTTGAGAAAAAGAATGGACCCCAGGAAGGAAAGACAGACATTGGACATAGGCAAGGTCTCAAGCTGATGCCCAGGGGAGGTCCAAAGGTGAAGTGGTAACTTGGTGTCAGGCTGAAAGAACCTGGCTACCAGACTGGAAGTTACTAATTCAAAGATTCGAGATGATGGGCGATTTTACTGAAAAGAAGTCCGATGGCACACAGGTACAGCTTTGAAAAACTGATGTAGTATTTCCGAGCATCTAGGCACACTGACATGACTGTGAGCATCTCAGGGCCAACTCATCAGAGGAACTGCAGGAAAGACTCAGTTTGTAGAGTGCTGGGCTCAATGCCAACACACACACACACACACACACACACACACACACACACACACACCCCAAACATGGTGGCATATGCCCTTACTCTCAGCACTCAGGAGGTGGAGATAGGAGGTCAGAAGTTCAAGGTCATTCTTGGTTATATAGCAAGGCCAGCTTGGGCTATATGAGACCCTGTTGGAAAAAGAACTGCAGAATAGTGTAATGTAATTCTATTTGTTTAAAATAACACATACAGACAATAACTCTTGGTAGTTTTCACTCTGGGAAGGAAAACAGGGAAACAGGGGTTGGCAAGTTCATTTTTACTTAATTCATCTGTTAAAAAAGAAAAAAAAATAAAGCTTGGCTGTGAAAGGAGAGAGCAACTTAGACACAGTGATACTGAAATGTGCAGCTATACATTTTAATCTCCCAACAGACAAACACCACTCTCCCATTTGCCAATTCTCAACAACTAGACTATATCCACTTCTTTTTTGTTTTGCTTTTATTTTTAAGTTGCATTTATTTATTTAATTGTGAGCGTGAACAGACATGGGTGTGGAGCTCAGAGAATAACTTGAGAAGTTGGTTCTCTTCTTTCTCCTCATAGGACCTAGGGATCAAATGCGGGTCCTTTGGCTTGGTGGCAGGAGCCTTTACCCACTGGCCTTGAACTCACAGTGTAGCTAAGAATGACCTTGAACTCCACCTTGGCCTCCCTCCTCAGTGCTGGTATTACAGGAATGCACCACTATGGCCAGCAAAATCCTTTCAAGCATGTATTTAGATACTGTTTTTAGATGACAGGAATATTATAGATTTTCTAGTCTGAACTCACCTTTGCATTCCTGATATAAACTAGCTTAGTCATCTCTCTATCCTCTACTTTAAGAAAAATGCCAGATCAAGCGGATTGTACTTTCTGCGTCCAATTATTGATTCCCACTGCCACTGCTCTAACTCGGGCCACGTGCTTCTCCCAGACTATCCTAATGGCTCCTAAACACCCTGCTCCAATTCTTACTGTAATGGCTCCTGCCCTGGCTCCGCCTTCCAGCTCTGTGCACAGTGAATGACTTGTTTTAAATTCATAAAGAGCCATGTGGGGCAAAGTGGCATCTATAAAGAATACTGTCTGCACAAGACCCACATAAGACCAGTCAATCCCCTTCTAGCATGAAGGGGTATGGGGTCGGGAGTCCCAGCCCTAACTGAGGAGCCCTGGACAGCTGATGGCCACTAGGGAAGGGAGAGTCAGAGTTCTTTAAGGTACTGTAGTTAACGACAGGTGGGCAACGCCCATGGATGGCCCCATACCCTGGAGTCTATAAGCAGCATAAACTGGACTACTGGGTTACTTTTAAGAAAGGGGGTGGTGAGCCAGGTAGTGGTGGTGCACGCCTTTAATCCCAGTACTGGGGGCGGGGGGCGCGGGGGAGAAGGGGCAGAAGTAGGTGGATCTCTGTGAGTTCAAGGCTAGCCTGGTCTACAAAGTGAGATCCAGGACAGACTCCAAAGTTGCACAGAGAAACCCTGTCTCGAAAAACAAAAACAAAAAAGGAAGAGGGAGAGCATTTGCTGCTTTTTCAGAGGACCCAGGTTCAATTCCCAGCTCCCACACAGAGGCTTACAACCATCTGTTAACTCCAGTTCTGTGGGCTCTGACTCCTTCTGGTGTCACCAGGCACCAGGCACACATGTGGTACATAAACATACATGCAGGCAAAACACCCACATACATAAAATAATAAAAAAATAAATAAATTTAAACCATTTTTCTAAAAGTGGAAATGAAGTAAGGGGAGAGGAGTTCTGGAAGGAATAAGGGGGAGGATGGGGGATGGATATAATCAAAATACGTTGTATAAAATTCTCAAAGAATTAACGAAAATGTTTGTAAATGGCATCCGCCTGTGGTGATTGAATAGGAAGGGCTGCCATAGGCTTACAGACCCGAATGCTTGGTCACCAGGGAGAGGTTCTACTTGAGAGGGATTAGGAGGTGTGGCCTGGATGGAGGAAGTGTGTGTGTCACTGGGGGTGGGCTGTGAGGTTTCAGAAGCCCACGCCAGGCCCAGTGTCTCTCTCTTCCAGCTGCCTTCTGATCTGGATGTAGACGTCCCCGGCCACCGTGATGTCTGCTGTATGCCGCCATGCTCCCCACCATGACGATAATGGACTGAACCTCTCAAACTCTAAGCCAGCCCCAGTTAAATCCCCTCCCTTATGAGAGTTTCTGTGGTCGTGGTGTCTCTTCACAGCAATAGACCACGGACCAAGACAGCATCTATTATTGAATACACAAATCTCTCATAGTTTATGATTTCCTACAAAAAGCTCTTGTACACGTTTTGTCATATATTCCTAATTATCTTCTAATTTGTTGAATAATGATTACATAGTTTTTTAACTTTTAAATGATATTTTCTGCTGGCTAACAACTGTAATTAGTATATTGACTTTACACAAACAACCTTACTAAAAAAAAAAAAAAAACCAAACAAACAAACAAAAAAACTCTCACTATGTAGTCCTAACTAGCCCAAAACTTCCTTATAGGCTTAAGTTTCAGTGAGAGACCCTGTCTCAAAAGTAAATAAATTAGTTAATAAATGAGGTAGATGACAACAGAGAAAGAAACCCTCTGTGTGTTTGTGTGCACACATGCACACATGTGCATCACTTTAAAAGGGCCGCGTCTTACTCCTGTATCAATTAGCACAGGCCTCTAAACTCCCTTGCACAAAGGAGACATTCCAGAAGGTTTATAAGTTGACTTAAACAAGTGCTTTAGAATACATATGTCTCTTTAAAAGTGTACATTAGGGAAGGGGGGGTTTATAAATCCTGAAATAGCACCCATGGCTCTGCCTGTGAGGAGAAATAGACGATCAAAAGTCAATATAGAGCAGTAATCGAAATGGGGATGACTCAAAACCATTCTTGATTGATCATGTTATAGACTCAATGGCAGTTCACCTTTCAGTTCACAAAGCTTTGACAAAGAGAGTGGCCAAACGTCTAAGAGCCGGCTTTTGGGGACAGTTAGGATGGACTGGCCTCTGAGACCTGAGCTCTCCATTAGGGAGGGGACAGATGGAGTGTGATAACTGTCTTCAAAAGAAACTCACTTCTATGGGTCTGCATTTTCCCATTCTCAAACCTGTTCTCCTCTGCATGTGAAGACCTCCAGAACTCAGGGTCTCAGCAGCAGAACAAAGGGCAACCACCAGGGAAAACACTCAAGGCAGTAACTCCATCAGCCTTTCTTAGCTCGCTCTGCTCCCCTCTGGAAGCCAAGAACAGAGTAAACTAAACTGTCTGGTCTCTGCCCTGTGTGCCCTAAAACAGAGCTGAAGTGTAGATGAGAAAATTTTCACTATTATGTCGAATCAAAGATTATAATCCCAAGTAATTTTCCATATGCCTCCCTGTTACCTGCGTGCCTATAAGCCAGCATGGATTTCAGTCTCACAACAGTGAGTTGGAAGTGGGCATCTGCACAGCAGCCTCGACGAGGTACAAATACTGCAAAGATCACACAAAGAAAGTGTGCAGTGCTGGGAACCAAACCCAGGCCTCAAGCAGAGTACGCAGGAGCTCTACACGGGTTCGGCTCTGGCCGGGCACACAAATGCTAACCGAAACTTAATTGATTATACTTTCCCCGGAAATGACCCAGTCTTAAGAGAGAGGAATCTCAGACTACGAGTTCCCCCGGTGTACTCTGTGGAGTCCTGAAACATCAGGGGGGCCATGATGGCAAAACTACTTCTAAACTGAATTTCATCAGTGGGGGGAGTTGTGTGGGGCACACATGTGGAGGTCACATGACAGCTCTCTGATGCCAGCCTCCTTCCACCCTTACATAAATTCAGGTTGCCAGGCTCGAACATGAAGCACCTGGACCCACTCAACACTGGGCTGCTCTCATGACCAGCCTTAAACACTAGCTGGAGCACGGCTCAGTGGCAGAGCACATGCTGACCATGGAGGACAACATATTCTGCCATTTTTTTGCTGGATGACATTTATAATCATGGTGCAAAAGCAGTGGTGTAGCCCAGAATGGTCACATGACCTGGAAATCCCAGCACTTAGCAGGCTGAGGCAGAAGGATTGAATTGATGTTTCAGGCCAGCCTGGGCTAAGGAGTGAAATACGGTCTCAAACTAATGAATGCAGCATCGGCAGGTGGAAGTGCCAGTCCCTCAGGTGGGGGGCTGGGGTGGCATCTGAGTGCTTCACCAGTAACAGTCTTCACTAACACCTGAAGAAGTTCAACTTCAGTCATCCTTGATAAAGCAGAAAAGAACAAAGCTTTATTGAATCTTGCTCCTTGAGCACACAGCCTTTTAGCATTCTTGTGGTGAAACTGCCATTATGTAAGAAGCACTTGCCTGGACACCTAGGCAGACAGCTGTCGGGAAGAACTGGGCACTGAACCAGTTTCTGCCCACTTGAGAGAACACTCGAGAGAACACTGACAGGCAAGTTATGGCTGACCAGGCTCGGTATGTGGAGATATTTTCTTTATCCTTCTTGCTACTGTTTTTGTTTTCTGAGACAGGACTTCATTATGTATGCTTGGCTGGCCTGGAACTCACTAGGTAGACCAGGCTAGCCTCAAACTCTCAGAGATGTACCTGCTTCTGCCTCCTGACTGCTGGGATTAAGGACATGTGCCACCGCGCTGACTTTGGAGGTATGAGTCTTTAAGAAGAACTTGAAAGAAAACACTTATCAACAGTTTCTGCCAATAATAAAACTTGAGTTTTCAGATGAAAATTAGAAATCTTAAGAATGTATAGCAGCCATCATGGGCTTTACAACTTCACAGTGTTCAAATATTTTGATAACATTGATAGTGACATTAGCACATATTTTTAAAAACAGCAGCATAATAAAATGTAACAGCATTTAGAAGCCTTTTATAATTCAGCAAACTACTTCTCAAAAGGAGGAAGAATTTTTGTTTGTTATGTTAAGAGAAGGTCTCATGTAGTTCAGGCTAACCTAATTCACAGAATAAAACAATTATAAAGATGACTGAGTGAGCAGAAGAGCTTGTTGTCACACCTGAACCCCCGGGTTTGATCTTAGGGACCCACAGAGTAGACGGAGGGAACTGACTCCTGCAAATCCATTCTCTGACCTCCACCCACATGCACACACACATACACACAATAAATAAATGTAACAAAAACTTTTTAAAAGATAAGAGAAAGAGCCCGAATTATAGGTGGAGAATTTCTAAGAGGGATGTAGGTATATTTATCATAAAAATTAAAATAGTAATCAGTCTCTGATGTTTAGATGATGTTAACACATACCAAGTACTGTTCTTAACTTGTTTGTTGTTTGTTTTTTGCGAGAGGATTTTTCTATGTATCCCAGGCTTTCTGGAACTCACTCTGTAGACCAGGCTGGCCTCAAACTCCGCCTGCCTCTGCCTCCCAAGAGCTGAAATTAAAGGCCTGTGCCACCATGACCGTCTTGTTCTTAACATTCTATATAGCTTAATCTTAATAATTCCATGGCAGTAAGAGTTTATCACCATTTTGTCTTGGTATTCACCAAATTACCATCACATCATCCATGAAACCCATCCTACATCACCTTCCTTCCCGCCTCTCCTATTACGCTGAAAAACACCCAGTCCATTTCCACAAAAATTCGACTGTTATGATCAACATCCACTATTCAAAGAGTCTTTCAGGCTAACGGTCTGACACTTTTTTCCCACAACCAACCCTTCCCTAAATGTGTTAGCACACTTGCTTTAGTGAACAAAGGGCCAGGCATGTTAGTGCACACATGGAATCCTAGTACTTGGAAGGCTGAGACAGAAAAGTTAGAAGGAGTTTGAGGTGACAGCCTTCAAGCCTAGAAGGGCCCCAGGCTTTTAGGAACCTTTAATTCAAATATGTACACATTAAAAACCTACTTGTTGGAGCCATCCTTCATGTGGACTTTGGCATAAAGAACATCCACCATACCAGGATCGTCGTTCATGTACTCGATCCCTGCCATCTCTGCTTCCAGGGGTTTGCCTCCAGAGATGTCGCTGCCAAAGGAAAAACATCAGGTTTGTACAGCTGTGTAAGCAAAGAAGGCTGCAGTATTGTGAAAGATGGTTAGTATGCACAGTCAAGTAGTTAAGAACAGACCGGTGGGGGTCTAGCTGTCCTTCTAATTTCAAGTTACTAAATGCCCAATGCCCACAACTGCAAAACACACAAGAGTATGTTCAGCACCACACCAGGTCCTAGTACTCACGGATGAGCTTTAAGACAGAGCCAAGGATGACAAAACTGGCAACGACATTCTATTGTGCTGGCCCTTCTCTCTTCATTATTTCTACACGTTACAGGAGGCTCTCTTTCACTCACTACTTGCGCATACCAATAACACATCTTCAGGACCACCTGCCCACATCAGTGAAAAGCCTCCTAGACTCATCTGTGCAACAAGTCCCTTTCTAGGGAACTGCCACAAGGGAATGGCAGCACAGGCAACCACAGCTGCCGAACCAAGGTGATGTTTCGGGGTTTTGTTTGTTTATTTGGGGTGTTTGTTTGGTGTGTGTGTGTGTGTGTGTGTGTGTGTGTGTGTGTGTGTTTAAAGTAGTGTTTGAGTCTATTAAGGAAGAGATTTAATATGGATTTAAGCAGAGGCATTAAAGGGGAGAGAAAGAGGGGGTGGGCAAGTCTAAGAAAACGACAGTACACACTACATATGGGTACAAGCTTCTCAAGAGATGTCACCTTTAGGGCAGGAAGGGGGAGAACAAGGGAATCCATGGCTGATATGTAGAACTGAATTGTATTGTAAAATTAAGTTAAATTAAATTTAAAAAAAAGAGAGATGTCACCCTAAGTGTCTTGACAAAAGCCACGTCTGAAGTTGCTGACTTTTGAACATACACTGTGTCTTACTTACTTTTCTACTGCTGAGACCAAACAGATGACCAAGGCAACTTAAAAAAGGAAACATTTAAATTGGGGCTCATGGTCCTAGAGCGTTAGTCTAGGGTCATGATGGAGGGGAGTATGGCAGCAGGCTGTTAGGCATGGTGCTGGAGCAGGAACAGAGAGCTTACATCTTGATCCACAAGCATGAAGCAGAGAGGTAACTAGAATGGCATAGGCTTTTGAAACCTCATGCCCACCCCCAGTGACACACTTCCTCCAGCAAGGCCACACCTCCTAATCCTTCCCAAACAGTTCCACCATCTGGGGACCAAGTATTCAAACATAGAAGCTTACGGAGGCCATTCTCATTCAAGCCACCACTCTCTGCTTTAAGTGTTCCTAAGGAATTTCTTTTGGTAAATGACATCATAGGACAGTCCCAGGTCCACTAGACAGGATTACAAATAGAAAAAAGAAAACCCAAAGGGCATAAGGGTTGGAGGAACCCTTTCTATACTAGATCCCAAGACAGGTTTTCACTCTGACAACATGTCTTAGCTAGGATTTCTATTGCTGTGAAGAGACACCATGACCATGGAAACTCTTTTAAGAAAAGCATTTAATTGTGGTGGTTCACTTACTGTTTCAGAGAGTCAGTCCATTACCATCACGGCAGGGAGCACTGCAGGGTGCAGGCAGGCATGGTGCTGGCCACAGCTTGATCAGAAGGCAACAGGAAGTGGACTGAGTGTCATACTAAGGGAAGCTTGAGTAAAGGAGACCTCAAAGCCCAACATGATGGTGACACACTTCCTCCAAAAAGGCCACACCTACTTCAACAAGACCACATCTCCTAAAGTGCCACTTCCTTTGGAGGCCATTTTCTTTTTTTTTTTGTTTTTGTTTTTGTTTTTGTTTTTGTTTTTATTTTTGTTTTTGTTTTTCGAGACAGGGTTTCTCTGTGTAGCTTTGTGCACTTCCTGGATCTCAATCTGTAGTCCAGGCTGGCCCCGAACTCACAGAGATCCGCCTGGCTCTGCCTCCCGAGTACTGGGATTAAAGGCGTGCGCCACCACCGCCTGGCGGAGGCCATTTTCTTTTAAACCACCAAACATCCATCCTTAATCTTGTTTGTGATTGTGAAAAAGGTACAGGTTCACAGCTGGGAAAGGAAGAAGGTTAAACTTAGGACTCTTCATTGCTATTGTAACATTCCCGTTTGAAATGTTTCTGTATAAAAGAAAAAGAACAGCCAGGCAGTGGTGGCACACACCTTTAATCCCAGCACTCAGGAGGCAGAAGCAGGTGGATCTCTGAGTTCGAGGACAGCCTGCTCTACAGATTGAGTACCAGGACAGCCTGGGCTACACAGAGAAACCCTGTTGTGATGGTTTGAAAGCAAACAGTCCCATAGGGAGTGGCACTGTTGGGAGGTGTGGCCTTGTTGGAGTAGGTGTGGTCTTTTTGTAGGAAGTGTGTCACTGTGGAGGCGGGCTCTGGGGCCTCATGTATGCTCCAGCCACACCCAGTGAGACAGACCACTTCCTGTTGTCTGCAAGTCAAGATGTAGGATGCTCAGCTCCTTCTCCAGCACCACACCTGGCCGCACAACACCATGGAGCACCATGATGATATTGGACTAACCCTCTGAAAATGTAAGTCACCCCAATTAAATTGTTTTTCCTTGATAAGAGTTGCCGTGGTCATGGTGTCTCTTCACAGCAAC